GCTAGCCACAGGCGTGGGGTGGTCCTCAGAAGGCGCTGATGTTTGCAGAGCTGTTAGTTAGGCTGCATTCTGAGCTCCTAGAGACACAGGGGTTTCCAGGGGTGTCGGGTGACTGGTGACTGGTAGGAGCTCAGGCTCAGGAGTGTTTGCAGAGAAATTTCATGCGTTAGCTCATCTGATCTTCACCCCCTGAAGTGGATCCCACCATCTCATTCTGCAGAGGAAGAGCTGGTCTTGCACATTGCAGAACTGTGGTTCAAGTTTGGGTCACTGACTTCCGGTGTCTGCATCAGGCTAACTTTCCTGTGGGGATCCAGAGGAGGAACTGGGCTTAGTTAAAAGAGGAGGGCAAGGGTTGTCGGACAGAAGATCTCGGGGTGGCACAGGGAGCTGGCTGGTGGCTTTCAAGAGCCCCTGGTGCTTTGGGGACCCCGGAGTCCATGACTGATCACAGAGTAGGGGGCTGTGGGTTTCATCTTGGGTCCTCAGTTTCCCCACTGAAATGATGTTAAAGCTGGGAGTGAGGTTCTGTAAGGGGGGTTCAGTGATGCCCCTCTCTCCCTGCCCTGCAACAGTTCCAAAGGTCTGTACCAGTGCTTACCTTTGAAACATGGCCGGGGAGGGGGGCGGAGTATGGTCTGACCTCTCCCATCCCCCTGAAATAACTTTCTTCCCACCCTCGTGAAGCCTTCCTGGAGCTGTGGACATTGGGAGATGGAAAGGTATCGGGGTGAGAAGACTCTTGCGTAGAATTGCTGCGGAGGAGAGAGCCACAGATTTTGCAGAGGCAGAGAAAACAGAGCAAGGCTTCCCCCTTCGCACCGGTGGCTCTCAGTAGCTGTTTACAGCCCCGGGCACTGCACCCCTCTGGGAAGCTGCATTGGAAAATAACAACTGGGCTGCTGCTCCTGAGCCAGCCCCTGGGCACAGAGCCCCAGCCGGGGACTGGCTCTCAGACCAGTGTGTGGGCAGAGGACATGCTGCCTGCTGGCTGGGCTGCCTTAGAGAGAAGCGGGAGCCCCAGAGACAGTGAAATCCTTAGCCCTCGGCGGGGTGGGGAGGGGAGGTCTTGGGGGCCGGAGCAACCCCATCCACTGACCTCGTCACCCACATGATTTCATCTTCCCTGAGTCACAGCAGGAAAAGGCCGCCCCTTGACATGGCTTGCTCGTGTCCTTCCAAGGACAAATCACAGCTGTGGCTGTCTTGTGTTTGTTTCCTCACTGCTTTTCCACCGAATGTGAGCTGCCCGCACGCAAGGCTCCTTTGTCTTATTCCCAGCACAGAGCGTTGTGGCACAGAAAGCCCTGGAAAGTTCTTGCTGAGACGTGCACCCACACCTGTGTCCACTCAGCCAAGCCCGGGGCTGGGGGCGTGCTCACTGACCAGCGGTTTTCTTTCCCTAGAACAATACCTGACAGCCGGGGACAGAGCTTAGTTTTCAGTTTATCTTCCTGTTGGAAGATAAACTGTCCAGTGGTTGGAAGGGGCCAGGGAGGTCAAGGCGGAAGTGAGTGGGGTCGTTGGCAGGGAGAACCATGACGGAGTGTGTGTGCTGGCCCAAGGGAAGAGGTGTCTTGGCTGTTTTGGCCAGTTCAGGTGCATGTGAGGGTGTGGCTTTGGGAGGTCAAGTGACCGCTTTGAGCCCCAATTTCCTCTTCTGTCCATTGGGCCCTGTCTGTACCAGTACTGTTGAGAAGCAGGAAGATGACCAGTAGGGATGGGTGGAGCATATGTAAATGATTTGCCTTTATTGATTTGTATTTATTAATGTTTTTAAAGATTTATTTATTTATGCATACAAGAACTGGAGTACAAGCCAGAGGTGTGAGGGGTGAGAGGATTCACCAGAGACTGAGGGAGAGCAGAACAAGCAGATTGACTGAGATACACTGAGAAGAAGCAGGCAAGACAGGAGAAGTCTGTTGCGCCACATGGGTCAGCTCCCTGGCCGGGGATCGAACTCATGCTGCAGTGGCTGTGGTGTGGAGAGTTTCATAGAGCTGCATTTTAGTCTGTTGCACCACCACGGAGGGCTCTATATTTACTAATTTTTATTAAAACTCTTAAGGGAGGCCCTCCCTGGTGGCGCAGCGGGTTAAAGCACAGCACTAAGAAGCTAAAAACCACTTCCGCATGAGTTCGATTCCCGCCTGGCCCGGAGGTGACCACATGGCGCGGCAGACCTCTCCTGACCCGCCCGCTGCTCCCCTCAGCAGTGTACCTCGTCGATCTGCCTGTTCTGCTCCCCACTCTGTCTCTGGTGAAGCCTCTCGCCGCCCCTGAGCCTCTGGCCTGTACCCCAGCTCTGTATGTACAAATAAATAAATCTTTAAAAAAAAAACAAACTCTTAAGGGAGATCCTTTGCTGTTACTGTGATATCATTATCATTGTCTGGCTTCCCGCCTTCTGCAGCAGGGACTAGCAAGTGTTGGGGCAACTCTGGCCTGAATCTTAGCTCCTGAAGACTCTGCCGTGGAGCAAAAGACCTGCGCAGCCCCTCCCTGGGTCCTGGATGGGGGTGGGGGGGTGAGGGCGAGGGGCCCCTCTTAGGGACCCCTGGGGCAGCCTCACTCTCGGCCCTCCTCTCCCCCAGGTACAAGACAGTGGTGACGCCTCGGAGGGCGGCTGTGGCCATCGCGGGCTGCTGGGCTCTCTCCTTCGTGGTGGGCCTCACGCCCATGCTGGGCTGGAACAACCTGAGGCAGGTGGAGCAGGCCTGGGTGGCGAACGGCAGCACCGGGGAGCCCGTGATCAAGTGCGAGTTCGAGAAGGTCATCAGCATGGAGTACATGGTCTACTTCAACTTCTTCGTCTGGGTGCTGCCCCCGCTGCTGCTCATGGTCCTCATCTACCTGGAGGTCTTCTACCTGATCCGCAAGCAGCTCAACAAGAAGGTGTCGGCATCCTCCGGCGACCCGCACAAGTACTACGGGAAGGAGCTGAAGATCGCCAAGTCGCTGGCCCTCATCCTCTTCCTCTTCGCACTCAGCTGGCTGCCTCTGCACATCCTGAACTGCATCACCCTCTTCTGCCCCTCCTGCCACAAGCCCAGCATCCTCATCTACATCGCCATCTTCCTCACACACGGCAACTCGGCCATGAACCCCATTGTGTATGCCTTTCGCATCCAGAAGTTCCGGGTCACCTTTCTTAAGATTTGGAATGACCATTTCCGCTGCCGGCCCGCACCCCCCATTGACGAGGACCCCCCAGAAGAGAGGCCCGATGACTAGACTCTGCCTTCTGCTCCCACCTGCACACATCCGGGTATCTCAGCCCGGCCGGCACCTCTCCACTGTTTGACCGGTTCCTCAAGGCCTCCCTTGGCTGGGCTGTGGGGTGTGGTGCCCTGCACCTTGGCTCTTAGGGGAGGTTTGGAAGGGCAGACCATGAGGAAGGAACCAGGTCACCCCAGGGGAGAAGGGAAGTGGCCTGCGGCTCCCCGCGCCCTCACTTACTGAGCAGCCCAGTGTTCACCTGGGCAACCCGTGGACTGAGACGTCGCAGGGGCCACGTGGGCAAACCCGGGAAGCCCCTGGCGGTGTAACCCTGGGGCCCCACTTGAGAAGAGGACAGGAGTCTCTCCAGGACCAGGGAAAGAGAGAAACTCAATGCTCTGGCCTCACTTTCTCTCCTGTTCTCGAGGAGAAGATGGCCAGAGCAGCCGAGGGGGAAGAACCAGGAGCTGGGTCTCTACCGGACTCCCACCAGCGAGCCAGGACCCTGTGCTCCCTCCTGGCCATACCGGGTGCCCAGGTGCTTGCGCTCCTCATGCTGGGGGAGCCCCAGATCATATGGGAGAGGCAGAAAGAGCAGGTCCAGATACCATTTCCAACATGTGTTTTATTTTCCACTATTTCCCTTGGACCCTGGGTGGGGGCTTGGAGTCCCCCAGTGAGTTTGGAGTGGGAGGTACAGGCCTCCGATGGCCACTAGATGGCAGCACTGAGCCCTCGGTCTTGCCCAGCGCGTCCCAAAGAGGAGCTTGGCCTGGACTCTTCCAGGTGACACCCATCTCTGCGCTTCTGGGCCAGATGGGGGAGCCCCATAGGCGCTGTCTCTTGGGAGCCATTCTGCCTGCCTTGGGGAGGAAGTGGGCAGACTGTGTGCACTCCTGGGGTGAGGTGTGGCAGGCTGGCCCAGGCCAGAGACCACCCTCCCGAGCGTGGGTGGGAAGGTCTTGCTGACATTGAGATGCCTTCAGCCCCCTTGGCATTAGCACTTTTCGGGGACTTCAGAAGCTCTGTTACAGCATCGAGGCTGTTAGGGTACCTGGGAAAGGACCGACGACCTCCTGGGAAGCTGGGTGCCCCTCATCCGGAGGGTGGGGTTCTCAGCGTGAAGAGCAGCCCCGGGCCTTCCCTCCAGACCTTTCCCTCTGTCAGAGGGGGTGTCCCCTGCTCCCCAGAGTGGGCCACGTGACTAATAAAAGCCAGAACACTCCTGGAGAGGTCTCAGCCTGGTTGCCTACCCCGGCCCTGCAGAGGACAACAGACAACCTTGGGGAGAAGCTGCCAAGGGACACTGGGCAAGTGTGGGGGCTGTGGGAGCCAGGGGGGCTCCAGAGAAAGGTATGCCTATTCCTGTAGCTGTGTACTTGGGGTAGCAATCCCTCAAGTCTCCTCCTGGCAGCACCTCCCCTGGTACCACATGTGAAGGCCTCATGGTATGTACCACATGTACCTCATGGTGACACATTGCACCCCTTGAGGTGACACAGTGCCTCCCTGTCATGACAGCAACGCCCCTGCACCGGAACACCACACACCTTTATTTGAGCGTGTCTGGCCCCAGCACAGCCCTGCGGGGGCCCTCTGGTCTTGCACCCACCAGGGGCCCCTGTGCTGGGACGCCTGGCCCGGGGCCTGCTGGGCCCCTCCTGGCCACTGGGCCTCAGCCTCTGGGGAGGGAGGCTACACCAGGACAGGGAGCAAAGCCATCTGTTGTCGCTGTGAAAACAGGGTCTGGGGAGTCCACGTTTTGATCCTGGGTCTGGGGGGCTTGACCCCTTAGGTCGTGGCACCTGGGAGAAAACACACTTCATGAGCCCATGATGTGAGGCTCAAAAGGTGAAGGGCAGGAGGGGAAGCAGCAGCCTCTTCCCTTCTTCAGCTCCCCCCACAAGGACCCTGCACCCCGTCTGTGCTCTGAGCCCCGAGAGCCCTTCTTACTCGTCCAGAGCCTCAGAACCACCCTCTGGTGAGGGCGGGGTCTGGTTGTCATCCTCACCTCTGACAGGAGACAGGTCCAGGGCCTGCCCATGCCCTGGGTCACTCACCCAGGACTGGGCCCTGTCCTGTGCCCACCCACTGAGTCATCCCCTCTCGGCCTCACCAGCACAGCCCGCCCCCTGGTGCCACCGAAATGTCCCCCAGGATGTGCCTGTGATTGCAGATTTGCACCAGAGCCAACAATGCACCCCTTCTTTCTACCATCCCCTGCTCCTGTTGGCACCTCCAGAGGCAGCAGAGGTGTGGGCCCGGCCAGTTACCTTTCTCCTGGCAGCTTCCTCCAGTCGCCCCTCAGTGTGTGGCTGAGGCTGAAAGAGATCCTGCCGGTCAGGACTGGAAGCGGTGTGTCTGCTGGGAACCCGCAGCGTAGGGGAAGGGGGGCCAGAGAGGCCAAAGCCGCAGGCCCTACTCAGGTGATCCAGACCCACTGCCTCCTTTCCCACACCGGCCCGCCCTCGCACTAGGCCATCTTGACCTCCATCTTGCCGGCTCCTGGCCTCCTTGCTGGGCTCCCTCACCCAGCCGGCTGGAGAGGTGGTGTCTGTCTTCCCATCCGTGGGCAGGCCCCTAAGGGGGACGCTCCTCAAATCCTCACCTTTGACCTCCAACCGGCAGTCCACAGAGGCCTCCCCCAGCACATTGATGGCTTTGCAGGTGTAGACCCCCGAGTCAAAGGGGCAGGGCTTCCGGATCTCCAGTGTGCAGATGCCTTGGTCAGAGAGGGCGCGGTACTTGGGGTCGCCCTGGAGGTCCATCTTGTTTTTCATCCAGATGATCTTGGGCTGGGGAGAGCGTGACCAGGGGCTGGTGTGAGGGGTGTGGCCGGGCAGGCTCTCCAGACCACCCGCGGGTTTGGGGAGAGATGCCGGAAGCATTCCTCAGTGGGGCGCCCTGCCCGCCCCTCACACAGCCAGGCCCTGCCCCTCACCTTGGGTGAGGCCCTCACGCAGCAGAACAGCTGGGTGCTGTAGCCAGGGGTGGAGGTGTGGTCAGCCAGGGGCTGGGTGAAGGTGGGGGCCTCTAAGAATTCTCGCTCCACAAACCCTTTGGGTTTGGCGACAATATCTGGGTTCAGGGGAGAAGATGGGGTGAACTGGAGGAGCCAGTTAGTTCTACTTTCCTAAAACAACCTTGGCGTACACCGCGATATCTCATTTGATTTGAATAATGTTCGTCCACACTTTGCTCCCAACTGACAGTGGGAGAGGAAGTCCTTGGGGACCGAGTGACTTAGGGGTGGGAGCCACATGATGACTGAGGTTCCCTGGGTAGGATCAAGAGGTCTGGAGCAAGATCAGAGCCTCATGAAGGCGGGGGACTGTCCATGTCCTGCTGACCCTCCTCCAGGGCTCTGCGCCAGGCCTCCAGACCTCTGGGAACTTTGGGGAGCAAAGCAAGAGCTACCCACAGGCCCTGGAATGCCAGGAGGAGGCAGCTTTGCAGGGCTCACGCCTAGAGGTGCCCCTCGCTGTCAGGGAGCAAGCAGGGAGCGGCCTGGGGAGCCAGAGCGGAGATGATCTTGGCTGAGTAGAGACTAGCAACTCAGAGACACCACATTTCATTTCTGTTTGTCTTTGCAGACTTGACTGGCTTTCCTTTTTTAAACAAAAAAGTTCCCTAATTCCGTGCAGCTCAGGCTGGTGTTAACAAGAATGTGCCTTCCAGAGCCCACACAGACTGCGCGGGAGTGCCGAGCTACGGCTGGGGGAGAAGCCACTTGGAATGCCACATCTGACGCACGAAGGTCATGAGGCTGTGGAGACTGAGTACCCATATCTCGCTGTCCATCTCACGGCGCCCGATTCCATCTCCCAGGCCCACCTACGGCCCATTGCCGAGAAGCACGCGAGGCCTGGAATCAGCAGTCAGCACACAGCCCCCGGAACTTCTCATTTGCATGGGCTGGCGCTGTGCTGCCGTGTTAAAACCAGTCAGCCACTCTGAGCCTTTCAGTTCCCCCTGAGGAGGTTCTTGAGGGGGTGCATGTGTGTGAGTGTGTGCCGGTGCGCAGCTGCCCTGGGGGGTGGGTAGAGACCAGCGGGGGGGGGGGTCTCTGGACCCCCAGGAGAAGTCGGAGACAGGGAGAGAGGGGTCTGGCTTAGTTTCGGATCTGGTAGACCCACCTGCCTTCTGGATGTGGGCGAGGTCCTTGGTGATGGCCGCTGAGGAGCTGAGACCACACAGGTTTTCTGAGAAGACCCGGAAGGAGTAGGAGTTGCCCACGATGAGGTCGGAGATGGTGCAGGTGGTCGGGTGGTAGCGCTCCAGCACCGTGAACCATTGCTGCGGGACCCCCAGCCTGTCAGCCTGTCCCCTGCCCTCGCCCTCCCTACCTGCCTGCACCCCCTTCCTCGGGAGGCCTCACTCCACGCCCCCGACCCTGAGAGTCCAACCATCCAGCCCTGGGCCCCAGGGACGGCATCAGGAGAGGGCCCTGTGGGCCCCTCCGGTCACCTCTCTGGGGTCCTCAGAGAATTCTGGAATCGAGCTACTCTGTGTGGCCCTCAGACCTGCAAACCAAGAATCACCTGGGCACGGCTTAAAAGCAGGGGACCCCACGCTGCTCTGACCAGAGGGACTTTGCATTTTAGCAAGATCCCTAGGTGATTTCGTTTTCAGAAACACCACTCAGTTTCTGTTTCCGGAATCAAATCAGCCCCCTCCCCCCCACACACACACTGTGGTTTTGGGGAGGAAACTGAGGTCCTGCTTGCCAAAAGCCACATGGGAGTCAGTAAATTTCTGGTGGTCAGACAAGGCCTCAGCCTGTGGATTATGGATGGGCTGGGCCTTCCAGGCCCCCCTGGCCATGCCCCCCCCCGCCCCTCTGCCCCAAGAGGCCTCACCCCTGTCTTCTTGTCTGCCTTCTGCACTGTGTAGCCCAGGAGCTCTGTGTTGCCTGTGTCCTGAGGTGGAGTCCACTCAAGGGCAGCGTTGCAGCCCCAGACGTCCACGAGCCTGATGCTGGTGGGGGGACCCGGTTTCTCTGAAGGATCAGAGTGGGAGAGGGTGCAGGTGTGAGTCCTGGATGGACAGGACACAAGCCACCCCACCCGAGATCAGGCCCCTGTGACGCTGTCCTGCCTGACCCACCAGTGGTCAGCTCTGGGGTGGGAGGCGGGGCCCTGGGTCCCGCTGAGATGGGCCCTGCGTCCCCTGGGCCCTGCCCGTACCAATCACCAGGATGTTGATGGCTGCCTTGGCCTCCAGGCCTTCCAGCCGCACCGTGAGCTCGTAGCAGCCAGAGTCGGCACGCTGGGCTGAGCGGATGAAGAGGATGGAGTCCCGGTCCCCCGTTCGCACGTTCACCCTCTGACTGTCCAGGGCCTGGCCGTTGTGTGTCCACGAGGCCTGAGGTTTGGGATTCCCCTGGGAGGGAGGGTGCGGGAGGTGCTATTGCCATACCCCGAGGCCCTAGGGAGCTCTTGAGCTGGGTTTAGGGGAGGTGGCCCCCTCTCCCTTCCCAAGAGGGACTTGGAGGCTGGAGACAGTGATGCTGACCAGAGCTGCGTCCTCCAGACATCCTGCCAGCCGGGACTTGCGCTGCCCACAGCAGGGGATGGGGCCGGGGAAAGGTGAGGCGTCCTGGTGGGTCCCAGGTGGGTCTCCACGGGAACCCTGACATTTCCCGCTCCTGACACACCTCACGTGGGACCCCGGGCTCGCTGGCAGGAGGCACACCCACCTGGAAGGGGATCTGCAGGTTGACCGTCTCTCCCACCTGGCGGATGTAGGTCTCACGAAGGTGGCGGGGGACACGGATCTTGGGGGCCTCTGCCTCAAAGCAAGAGTCTCGGTTTAGTACAGCGGGAGTGGGTAGCTGACAGAGGGCTCTTGTGGGGGTGCGGGCGAAGCCTGCTGGCTGGAGGACTCTGGGTGTGTTCGGGGACTGCCTCCCTTTGGAAAGGTGTAGCTCACTCTGGAGATGCAGGGACCCAAATCCTCTTGGGGAGTTGAGAGCTGGGAGGCTCCAGGAGGACAGGGCCTCCATGCTGTGACCTGGTAAGCAGCTCCGGCACGCCCTTGGCGCACTGACCCTGCCAGTCTGGGATCTATCTGCCCTGCCGCCCAGACCCAGGCGTTCCCAGGCTCCGGTCGACCTTGTGGGCTCCCTGGCTCCCCCTGGTGGAGAGCAGGTGCCGCGCCCATTGGCCCAAAGCACTCATCTTGGGCTGATGGAGTGAGTACCTTCCACATTTACCAGCCCTAGGACCCTCAGAGGAGCCCCCAAGACTCGCTGCCCAGTGCTCTATCACAGCCTGGCCTGATGGAGGGGTGGGGATCTGTCTTCCTAAATGAGGCCAGAGCAGACAGGCCTCCTCGCTTCCCTCTGGCCGCGGCCTTCCGTCTGACAGTCTTCCCTGGCATCCCGCTGCAGCCGCTAATACGGAGGGAGCACCTGGCTCATGCCACCTGCCAAGTGCAACTGCAGAAGCCACTGGGCATTCAGGGGTAGATGCGGCAGCCTCTGCCCTGTTGGTGGGGAGTGAGGAGAGGATGGTAGAGGCTCTGCAGGAGCAAACAGGTGGCAACAGCTGGCTGGTGCCCCGCAGGGTGGAGGGGGAGAAGACTGAGAAGGAACACAGTGTCTCTGAGGATTAGCTGTGCAGGCACTTGGCTCCCGAAGCGCCAGGCTTGGGATGCTCCAGGGGCAGCTGCAGGGGCCAGGAATGCTTGGCAGCTCCAGGTGGCCGAGGAGGGACAGCTGAGCAGCCGAGGATCCTGGACAGGGTCCCCGCCATGCCCTGCCCTTGAGGAGGGCCCGGCTGCTCCCACTTGTACACGGCCTCCTCCCCCTCTTCTCTCCAGGAAATCCCCTTCCCTCCTGCCAGAGGAATTTTAATGGAGGGGTGGGTGCTGAGTCTGCCTGGCTCCTTCCGCATTGGGCTTCAGGCACCAGCAGGCCCAGGACCCTGGGGCTCAGACGGAGGTACCTTGGCCGCCAGGTGGGAGCGGGTCCACTCAGACTAGAGGCTGGGGACACCTCTGGGCTTGCAAACCACCTGGAACAGTCCCAGGGAGTCAGGCTGGGTGACTCCTGTTGGGCTGGGGGCCTCAAGGGGCTCCTGGACCCTTGGGACCTAATTGGCTGCATGGGCCAGCTGTGAAGCTTCCTAGTCCACTGGTGCCCTCGCACCTCAGCCTTGTGGCTGAGAAGTCTCCTTGGGTCCAAGCTTGGCCCTTCCTCTGGTCATGAAGCCCCCTCGCCGTGTCTGGAGGCCTTGTCGCAACAGTGGGTTTCTGCACCAGCCTCGGTCAGGAACCGTCTGTCCCTGAGAAGGGGGCTGGAGAAGGCCTGAGGCCACCAGCTGGCCTATATCTCTCCTCGCCCTGGGGCCCTGGGCTGTCCCCAGAGACCTTGGATCAGACCAAATGACTCACTGCCATTAACAGACTGAAATCTGATCAGGGCTGGGAGGAGAGCAAGCATAGGCTGCACCCTGCAAATAGAAGTCTTAGCAAGGGGACGGCAGCTGGCACCTGGGCCCGGCACAGCCCCGCTCTCTGGGGATGCAGGAGCCTTCATGGGTCTCTGCAGAACTCTTGCTTTCCTCTCGCGGGCCTCTAGGCCTGCGTGGAAGGAGAGGCAAAATCTTTGGAGACCCCAGGCCACGTGAAACGGGCAGAAAATGAGCTCCAGGGCCCCTGGAGGGATTGAGAGTAGAGTAGATGAGAGGTTGGGCTTTTGGCCTGGGGACACTGAGGCAGGGGGCCCGGGGTGGGCTTTCATCTCTGAGATGGGGAAACCATCACCCGGCTCCTGGAGGCTGTGTTTCTCTGGGAAATGCCTCTCGAAGCTCCAGGGTCCCCTTGTTTCTAAAGGATCTGGATTTTTCTTAAGGTAATACAGTGTCAGCACGCAGTGTGCAGGTGAGCTCAGGGGATTGGCCTCTCTTCCTCCTCCTGGCCAGTTTCTCCCTTCATCAGTTAGGATGCCACTGGGAAGGGCTGGCAGTGGAGGGACAGGACTTACCTATGATGGCCCGGATGTGCACAGGCTGGTCCAGCACCGCTGGGGGGCCAGCCCCCGCAGAACTCACCGCAGCCACACGGAGCAAGAACTTGTCCCCCAAAGCCAGGTTCCGGACCGTCAGCTGGGTCACCATCATGGGCCGGGGGGTCACCGGCACCCACTCCGAGGCTGGGAAAGTGGAGAGGGGGCAAGGTGGGTTTGTGGGAACCCTTCTCAGGGCGGGGGAGCTTCCCTTCTTGCTGGTGGCCAGGGAAGTTGGCCTCCCTCTCTGGGCCTTTTTTCCCCCTTGTTCCACTTCCCAGACTCCTCTCTGCTAAGTGGCAGTAGAGACACCTGATGTTAGAGACCAGGAGTGGTGGTAAGAGATGGGGTTGCTGAAGCCCAGAGAGCCTGGGACACGTTTGCCAAGTCACACAGCAAGGTGGGGTAAAGGCAGAGGCCAGGCTGAACATGGCTGCCACGGGGTAGACAACAGGACGGTAGCAACAGGTGTCTGGCCTGTCCCTCTATTTGTCCTCACTGTCTCTGGTTCTAAGCCCCAGTGCCTAGCTGCTTTGCTCCCCGCCTCCTACTCGCCCTCCCAAGCAGGGTCCTTGCGACTTAGTGGGCTCCTTTTCATCAAAGCGTCCAGTCTCTTCCAGCAGAGGCTCCCCAGCAGGAGGACAGGGCCTCCTGGGACATCCTCCTGCCTAAGAGGACATAGGCCGGGCTAGAGGCGGTGGGCGAGTGGTGAGGAAAGTTCTGCATTTCCTCCTGTCCCCCCACCCCTCACCTCCACCCAGCCACAGGGCTGGGGCTTGACTCTGCTGTCCCCTGGCCCACTCTGGGGTCTGGGGGGCTCAGACCAGAGCTCACCTCCCTCTCTGCAGAGCTCCAGCACATAGCCCTGGAGTCCCAGCCGCCCGAGGCTGTCTGGGGGCTCCCAGCTTACGGTCACAGAGCTGTCACTCACATCCTCCACGACCAGCAGCAGCGGCGCGCTGGGAACATCTAGGGGAGAAGCAGGGGCAGGTGAGACTCATGTCCAGGGCCCTCCCTGCTTCACTGCTCCCCTCCACCCACCCACCAGGGAGGTCGTGTCACCTTCGCTGGGAGGTGCAGGTTTCGTGTCGGCGAGGGCGGCGGGGGCAGGTGTCTGAGTTGCTGGTTCCTGTGGCTGGGGTGCCGGCTCCTCCCCAGTGGGCTCCTGGGTGGGCTCTGATGTTGCCCCTTCTGCCGAGGGCTCTGTGGTGGGCATCTTGGCAGCCTCGGCAGCCATCTCCTCCAGACCACCGGCAGGGACCTCGGCAGCCATCTCCTCTGGACCACCGGCAGGGGTCTCCTCGGTGGCTTTTCCCGTCATTGCCAGTCAGCTGGGGGTCGGGCTGGAGTGTGTAGGGGTCAGCAGTCGAGGTGCTGGGCCTCCAGGGTGCCCGGGACACCTAGGTCCAGGCTTATATAGTCCGCAGCCCCGCCCCCAGCTGAATGATTCCCAGCTGTGAGGTCAGGTCAGGCAGGGGGACGGAGGGCGGGAGGCACCCAGACCAGGAATAGCGCTGGGGGAGGAACCACAGGGTCCCTTGAGGAGCAGACTACCACCACCCTGATTGGGTCCCAGCAGCCAGGGTGCTGGTGCCCAGGGGAAAAGGGCATGCAGGGGTGAGGCGGTCCATAGCCAGGAGCTGTGCCAGGGTCACGGTCACGGAGCGGGTTCTTCCCCTGGAGCACGAGCCCAGATACGCTCTATGTGTTTGGCTGCTGTGGGCAGCTCATGCCAGGGCTTCTCGCCTGGGTGCAGGGACCCAGACAGCTGGGAAGAGCCCAGTTTTGCCCAGAGGTTCCACGCAGCTCATGCCAGGGCTTCTCGCCTGGGTGCAGGGACCCAGACAGCTGGGAACAGCACAGAGGGTCCACGCTTTCCTGGGAAGAGTCCCCTGAAATCCCTGGGGATTCTTGACTGTGCTGTATGAGGTTGAGGGGCCCAGAGCGGGGACGAACTGGGATGCCCAAGTGGGGTAAGGAAGATCTTCCAGTAATGAGACCAGAAAGGGGATCTGAGACCTCTCTTTACTTATTGCCTGTGTTGGGGAGACTGGACTCCCCAGTCCCTATTCTGGACCTCAGTTTCCTCTTTCTATGGCAGCACTGTGATAGTCCCTGAGCCCTTAGGATGGAATATAGCCCCAAGGCAGATCTGGAAGGGACCCGCGGGGAGGTTGGCACTCTGAAACTTCTAGACTCTTCCAAACAGGACACAGGCATGGCATTAGTGATAGGGAAATGAGGCTGAGGTGACCAGGTTTCTAGACATTGGTTCTTTTATTCAATAAGCATTAACGTTGGCGATCACTTAATAAGCTTGGAAATACCACATTTCAGGGGGGAGGCGAGACAGCGAGCTCTCTCCCGGCTGGTGGTGAGGGTAGCAATCTCTTCGCGATAAGGGAGGCTGTGCCTAGGAAATGAAGAGGTGCATGCTCTGGGACCCAGCAGGCACACCCCCAGAGACACCTGTGCCCCCGGAGACTCTGTTCAGCCCAAATCTGGGGGCGGTGGGGGCAGCAGCCCCTTCAATAGTGCGATGCGTACCAGTGAATGTGTTGTATGGACGTACTATGGCGTGAGACATGGATAAAATGAACATCCTAGCTCAAGCATCGGGGTCGCGTCCCAGACAGGGGATGTGCGAAGGTGCCACGTGACGGAGATGGCGCAGACCCATCCAGGTTAAGTTCAACGCCAGACTCTCCCCTGGGGAAGCAGAGGGTCAGGACAGTGGTGGCCTCGGCGGAGGGACGGGGTGGATTTGACTGTGGAGGTTTAGGAACACCATGGAGGGCTCATTTCCTGCCCTGGGTAGCGGTGATACAAGTTTCACTGCATAGTCATTCTTTAAACTGAACGCATTCTACACGCGCTACCTACCCACACTTTCAAAGTCAATCAGCACGTAATTAATGTGGAGCTCCAGCACCCTCCCTTCTTTGGGTGGGTTCTCGGCTGTCCTCTCTCGGGGTGGCAGTGGAGGCCTGGGAGGCCTCTGGGTCTAGCCCGGCCTGGGTGCCTGTGCCCTCTGCCAGGTGACTCAGTGTCCTGTCGGGCAGGGGGCGTGCCTAGGAGACCCGATCTCTCCCTGGCCTGACTCTGCGGCTATAAGTGAATGTGACTAACTCCGAAGGACCCTGAGTCAGCCCAGCCAAGCTTGTCCCAGGCTGGGGGATGGGCAGCCAGGGGCAGGGGGGGTACTGGCCAGCAGGGCAGCCCCTGGAGATTCAAAGACCCTGCGTGGTAGGGTGAGCCGTGGGTGGGACTCCCGCGTGTAGGCCACCGGCTAGCCATGAAATGCCTCCGTGGCTCTGGCCAGGCTCTGATTCTCTCTGCCTTTGGCTGTGACCTTGGGATCTGTTACATCTGCTCAGCTCCTGCTGGTTCAGATTTCAGGGCAGTCAATAGGTATTTCCTTCCCTATACCTCCAACCAGCGTCACTACCCCCTAGGCCAAGATGCAGATAATTGGAACATCAGGAAATCCACAAATACATTCTCCCGGAGAGAGTCCAGCTCTGGTGTCTCTTCGCAAAAGGTGGCTGTGCACTGGGAAGGCACAGGGCTTGGCTGGTGGGATGTGGATAAAAGTCACAGAGGCAGCAAAGCTGGCTGCTCTTCAGAGCCTACCTGTCTATCCCTCCTGCTTCACGTCCCCTCAACAGGAGCAAGGAGGCTTGACCGCTGCATGGGTGAGTCCTGAGCACTCCTAGGCCCGTCCCAGAGGGGTGGAACATACAGAAAGACAGAGGTCTGAGCTGCAGGTCTAGGACTCCTGGCAGACTTCAGTCCAGTGACAGAACAGACTCCCTAAGGTCAGGAGCTGCAGGTCACTGGACTATCGGGGAGGCTGGGGGCCCACCTCTCAAGTGTCTCTGGAGACCCCCCTTCTGGGAGGAATGGAGGGAGGAGGCCGTGTGGGGTGACAGCGGTGTTTCCTCCTGGCCCACCCGCCCCCAGTCAGGGTCTAACTGGCCCTGGGGCCGGCTCCCTTCCCTGCCCTGGGGTCAGAGGAGACAAAGGGTGGGAATGCCTGTGCCTGCCAGCACTGGACAAACAGGAGCTTATATCTGCTAGGTCATCAGCCATTGTGGCAAGACCGTGGCAGATAGCCCCGAGGGTGCTGGCCTCCTTTAGGCCTCCCTGGGCCTGGCAAGACCAGGGTGGCACTTCCTTCTGTACATTCAGGGCCTCGAAGCCTGAGAGAAGGAAGCTCGGTGGGTGCAGCAGGGCCAGAGACAGACAGAAGCCAGTGTGGACACCCATTCAGCGCGGTGCTTTATTGGGCCGCCAAGGAACGAGCAGGTGGGATGGACAGCTGACGAAGCTCGGGGGGACGGGGGGAGGTGGGCTTTGCAGAAGGGACAGTTAGTGTGGCTGCTGCTTCTGTGAGGTGTCTGGCTTCTTGGTGGTGGACAGGCAAGGAGGGCTGGGGCTGAGGGAGTTGAAATCCCTTGTGTGGAGCCGGGGGTCAAGGTGCATTTTCCTTAATCAGAAGGTGCGTGCGACCCTGTGTCTCATGCTGTGCTGTCCCCAGGCTCCTACTGTCCCCACGGACCAGCCTGCAGGGCAGCTCAGCTGTGGCCTCTGCAAAGGCCCATGGGAAGGAGACTGAGGCCCAGTAAGGGACTCAGTGGGGCTGGCGGTCAGGCTCCTGGCCAGCCAGAGCCCAAGGGAGGGATGCCCCACTTCTCGCTACGCTGTAGCAAGCGCGTCCTTGATGGTGCCAGTGAGAGGGAAGCGCAGACCCTGGCCACAGAAGGTGCCCGGGAAGTCGTCCAAGTCCAGGGCCCAGACCATGGCGCCCGCCAGCTGCCTGTTCTTCAGGTACTGCACCTGACAGGGGAGAAGGACAGGGCTGGCTGCTCAGGCAGGTGGGCCTGGGAGAACACGCTCTCTTGGCCCCGCCCCAGGCCACACCAGGCACCAGACTGGATCCTGTCCCCCAGTGCTGCTCTCAGCCAGGGAATCTGGCTGCTCGCAGCAGGCCCGCTCTCCCTCCGCATCCTGGGCTTGGCCAGCGGGCAGCCTACCTTGGTTTTGACGCTCTCTTTGTCTTCGTATCCTACCCACTGGTTGCCCTTGGTGGCATAAGGGACCTGCTGGCCCAGGAGTCTGTGGACCGTGGCTCCTTGGAGGAAGTCACAGATCTGAGTAGCGAACAGGGCAGGTGTGTGAGGAACCACGCTCAGACTCTGCAGGCCACCTTGAAGCTACTCAGCTCCTTCCTTCACCCTGCAGTTTCCACCTGCTTCAGAGTCTCCATGCAAATTCATGTAAAACAGATGCAAATGACCCCAGGGTCCTGGCTGTTGTGGCCCCCACTGGCTTCCTCAGTCTTAAATGGGGATGTGGGAAAGGGTGGGTTGGTGGGAGCGTGGGCCCAAGGCTGCCCAGAGCAGCAGAGGCTGGAGTCAAACACCTGCCTCTTGGCCACTGGGCTTTCCTGGGCTGGAAGGAGGTCCCTTGCCTTAGTGACCGGGAAGCTTGGTCTTCCACTGGGCTGGAAGGAGGTCCCTTGCCTTAGTGACCAAGGTCCCTCGCCTTAGTGACCAGGGAGCTTGGTCTTCCAGATCAGGCATCTTCAGGAGTCTTAGTTGCAGAAGGCCTGGCACCCAATTCCTCCCGTTCAGGTTGCCATGTCCATGGGAACAGTGTTTTATTCCCAAAGGAACAAGAGTAGGAGGCGGCGGTGAGCTCATCTCCCCAGGGCTGCTGGTGGCATTGGGGGACTGCACCCTTCTCCCCAACTCATACCTCATAGTAGGCAAGCATTCCTTCCTCCTTGGTGAAACGGCCTGGTATTCCTGGCCCTGAGGTGGGGGCACCCACATCCGTCTTAGAGGAAGCCAGGGTGAAGCTCCTTCCAAAGGTGGGGATACCCATCACCAGCTTACTGGTCGGGGCCCCCAGCCTCAAAAGGTAGCCCACTGCATAGTCCTGGTGGGAAAGAGCGGGCAGTGAGCTGGGCAGGTCATACGCTCTTGCTGCTGTCACCTTGAGAATGGAGCCCCGGATCTATAACTTGGGGTTCCCTCCCTTCTGGGCACCTAAAATGCATGCTATAGTTTCATTCTTGAAAAAGGCCTCTTAAGTCTCACAAGGGATGATGACTGTTTGACATTGCAGAAGCCAGGTGATGGGTGGGCGAGAGAATGGCAGGCAGACTCCCATGCCAGCTCTGTCCACTTGCCCTCTGCCACCTCGGCCCACCTGCAGGCCTCTCCTGAAATGGTGGGACCCTTTAGGGAAGTATTGTCCAATTTGCTCCTGCTCGTATGAAAGCATAAATGTTGGGCCTCAGTTTTATCATCTGTGAATGGACACTCCTTTGTGGGATTAAGGAGGTGTAAAGAGTGGGTATGTGAGCGCGGGAAGCGAGACATCCCTGCCCGCCCCCTGCACCCCTCAAGCACTCACAACATTGTTGAATCTGTCAGACTGTGCATCCTCCTGGCCTCGGAACAGGGGGCTGGGATGGCCGGTGGTCTGGCTCCAGGCTCCGTGGAAGTCATAGGTCAAAAGGTTGATGAAATCCAGGTGTCTGCGGGAAAAGGTTGCAGGCTTGGGTGGGAGGTGAGGAAAGCTCTGACCTCACATCCTCCACCCCACTGGGCTGTGAAGAGGGAGTCCAGCGACAGGCCGTGACCCCAACTCCTGGAGAAACCCCAGGAGGCTGTGGTCTGCTGTCTGGCTGCTGGACTGCACCAGGGAGTGGACATAGGCCCCTAATGCATTTCAGGGGTTCTTCTCTTGTCATCCCAGCACACAGCGGGGAGCTGGCTCCTGTCTCAACTCACTCTTTCACTCCCACCCTGTTTATCTGGGTGACAGCAGGTTTGTGGGCAAAGAAGCAGCCTGGACAATGAGACCCCGGGCTGGGGAGGAAGTTCTCTTCATGCACAGGTCAGGTAGATTTTATCAACGCGCAACTCAGATGTTCGGGCGCAGAAGGCTGAGAAATACCTTCTGCCCACCCAGCCTAAGCCCAGAGCCCACAGCTCCCCAGGTTCCCCAAGAGGCAGTGTGTGCGGGGTCCTCGCACTTTGCTCCTGGTCCTCTGAGACGGATGCCTCGGCCGCCCCAACTTCAGGCCCAGGCCTCTGGCTGAGGGGAGGGGTGCTTGTTCTCACAAGCTGGGGGCTGAGTGAGGAGAGAGGCAGGGCAGTGGGAAAGGGGCTCCCTGTGTGGGGGAGAGCATGGTGAGGCCTCCCCAGCAGTCCCGAAATGGGACTGGTGGTCTCCCCAGGCCAGCCCTGCCCAGCCTGGCAGGGAGAAAATGCCCGCGGTGGCTGGCTAGGTCACTGCCCCGGCGTCCTGCCCTGTGGGTGACACAGAGAGGCTCTCCAGCCGGCCAGCACAGCACCCCAGGTGAAAGAGGGAGACTTCCCATCTGACAGCTGGGGACATTGAGGCACAAGGGGCAAAGTGACTTGCTCAAGGCCAGACATCAAGCTTTCGGAAGAAGTGGGCCCAAGAGTCCAGTGGGCCAGGGCGGCCAGTGGGCACTCACTGGGATATCTGGGCGATGTCGTAGCCGCTGTCAATGGCGACCCTCCCTGCAGACACGGCCGCGCTGAGCAGGAGCCGCTCGGACCCTGACAGGGCTTCCTGCATAAACTCGGCCTTCATCTCCTGGTTGGGAGAGAGGCAGGCAAGTGATGACAGGGGCCCTCTGCGTCACAGGGAGCCTGGCAACCCTGAGCACCCTGCCAGCCTTCCCTATCTGTGCTGATCCCCGACTCTCCCTGGGAATGATAAAGTGCAGCCTGAGTGCTACCTCAGCTCACTCACTGTGCACCACTCTGGCCCCGCACTGGGGCACACCCACCAGCACACGATTGTTTCTCTCTTGGAGGCCCTGGGGGAGGGGGGTTTTCAGCTGGCCCCCACGTGATGTTGGATGACATTTACTGTTTGTACATGATTTAAGCTGATAAACGAGACACAAAATAAATGGCTTCTATTGGGTGTGGGCCGTGTGTCCAAATGGTCACTCTCCCTGGGATATGTGGGTGCTCAGGCTCACCCCACAGGGCTAAGCCCCTGAGGCCCTGCATGATGGGAATGGACAATACCACTTTGGGCCTGAGCAGTGGACAACGTCACTCTCCTAAATGGACAGTGATGGGTGGACGCTCGGTTTAGTGACCTCTGTTTCCCAGGCCCCACACCCCCGACCTCCCACCGAAGTGACAAGTAATCCCCACTGTGGGGAGACCCCAGGACTCCGGTCCCTCGAGCATCCAGGTCCAGGCCCCCCGGCTCCTGAGCGAGGAGCCCTCAGTCCCTCTTCTCAGGAAGACCTCAGTGCTGCCTCCACACCCCTCCTCCCCACCCCCAGCACCTTGACCAGCGTGGTAAATGGCTGCTTGTCTCTCCGCCCTGGGTAGAGCCAGGACAGGTCCAGCCCGTCAAAGCCATGGGCTCGCAGAAAGGCCGGCACCGACTTGATGAAAGTTCTGCGGCTCTGGGCGTTGGAGGCTATTTTGGAAAATCTAGGACAGAAACCACCTAGTAGTGACCGCTGGCAGGCTGGGTGCTGGGCCCTCTGGGCACGAA